GATAGATAGATAGATAGATAGATAGATAGATAGATAGATAGATAGATAGATAGATAGATAGATAGATAGATAGATAGATAGATAGATAGATAGATAGATGGATAGATGGATAGATGGATAGATGGATAGATGGATTGATGGATAGATGGATATATGGATAGATGGATAGATGGATAGATGGATAGATAGATAGATAGATTATATAGATAGATAGATAGACAGATAGATAGATAGTTGAGCAAAAAACAACTTTTCAATATGTTTGTAAAAAAAGTTTTATTATTGTTTAAAATAACTGGACATTGAAAAATACACTAAGAGAGTAAAAAAAAAATTGTGGACATTATTATTTATAATGATACTTCATTCAATCATAATTGGTAAATATTTAGTATTAGTAATTATCAAGGAGAGCTTCTTTACTTCATTGATAATAAAAACACAGTACTTATATTTTTTTTATCAAAACACTCTCGAAATTAAATTCACGAAAATTTTTTTCACATCTTCCTTCAATATTTTTGTCTTAGTTTGCATACATTCTCTTTCATTTAAACATGTATTGAATGGCTAAGCAAGTCAACAACGTCATCATGACCATTGTCGGACGCCAACATTAAAGCTGTCCAGTCATCGCTATTTTTAAGATGAATATTTGTCCCCTTATCAATCAGCAGTTTTGCTGTTTCCAAATGCCCATTCTGTGATGCCAGCATCAAGGCAGTGAAGCCACTGCACTCTGTCTCGTTAGCGTCAGCTCCGTTGTCAAGGAGCAGCTGCACAACTTTGGCGTGACCGTTTTGAGATGCAAGCATTAGTGGAGTTAATCCGTTTGTTTCGTTCTTTGTAATTTTTGCCCCGTGTTCGAGAAGAAGAGAAATTGTTTCTACGTGTCCATTAAGAGACGACTGCATCAATGCAGTCCAACCGTCAACTTCCCTCTGCTCCAAATCAGCCCCATGTCCAATTAACAATTGTACAATTTCTATGTGTCCATTGAGACATGCAAGCATTAAAGCAGTCCAGCCTTGTCGCTCCTTGTCGTTAACATTAGCTCCGTTTTCAATCAGCAGTCTAGCAGTGTCCGTATGTCCATTTTGACAGGCTAACATTAGGGCAGTCCAGCTTTTATTTTCTTTCTTATCGACATTAGCACCTTTTTCAAGGAGCAGTTTGACAACATCTGTTTGACCATGTTCTGATGCATGTAGTAGTGCTGTAAAACCATTTTTGTCCGTATGACTCACACCTGCTTTGTTTTGGATTAACAAATCAACTATTTCAATGCGTCCTTTTATTGCGGCAAATATCAAAGAATTAGAACCGTTTCCAAATTGTTTATTAACATCAAAACCTTCTTTCAAAATTCGTTCAACATTTTCTATAGATCCTATTTCTATTGCATTTATAATGTCCTTAGTTATATTATTTTTCTTGCCTTTGTCATGTGCTTCTGATGCAGTTTCCATAACCTCTGGCTTATTAATTGTTTCATATACGTTAGAAGCTACATCGTCTTTGTTAACTATATCATCCTTATCGTCATCACGATTTTTAAGTGACTTACAGAACTCCTTTAAAAATGCGTCCTTATCTAAGGTGTTTTCTTTGTTTGTATTTATCGTATTGTCCATTACACAGGTAGATCTACTTTGATAAATTGTAGACTTTCTCGTCAGAGACTTTTTGTATTTCTTTTTCTCGTGATTCCCACCTATTTTATTAAGAAATTCAGAAATGTGAGTTTGGTCGTTTTGGGAAGCAATTATCATTGCAGTTAAATCATCATTATTTTTTTCATCTACGTTTGCTTTCATTTTAATTAAGTATTTTACAACGTCAACGTGACCGTTTTGCGATGCCAACATTAAAGCAGTCCAACCTTCATAGTCTTTATCGTTAACATTAGCCCCGGTTTTAAGAAGTTTTTTAACAATGGCCAGGGAACCATTTTCTGATGCCAACATTAGTGCGGTTAAGTCCTCGGGACCTCTGGCATTGACCTCCGCTCCGTTTGTTATTAGCTTGGATACTGTTGATGTGTGGCCTTTATTAGCTGCTAACATTAGAGGTGTCCAGACATCTGTGTCGTCTAGGTCAACAATAGCTTTTCTTTTAACGCTTGTCTTTCCAAGAGTAGATCTCAGGGTTTGATCCAACTTAATCACAACATCATGGTTCTGAAGGAGTAATAAAAATAACACTTAAATGATCAAATGTAAATTCTGATAATTAAAAGTTTTTAATAAACAATGTTGCCTCTTCTTGGCTTAAAAAAAATTACAGCTGCTCTAACTGTATGCGTTATATAAATTGTAAAATAAATAAGTTACAATTTGTTTTGTTTTTTTAGTCGATTTTTTCCTCAAACATGCGTATCTAAGAAACATTCATTCGCTATAACATTTCATTTGAACAAAGATTGTATCTACTACTCACTAAAAATATTTACATTGCTTTTTAAAGTCAGCCTATCAAATAGTTTGATTTATTTCGCATACAATAAGTGTTCTTTAAATGATATACCAACGTGTGTAAATCCTAATAAATTTAACGATAATTGAAATAAAATAATTGAATCTCAATAATATAGCCAAGGTACTATACATTTCAACTTATTTTATATCATTAGCTTTAGCATGTACCTTAATTTATATTTATTAATGTATTAATTTAAACTAGTGCATTTTATATTTTGCTTTTCAATACCACCATGTAAGTGTTTGTATAATAATGCATGTTGTGTTTAATAAAGTGTATAATGGTTAATCAAAATGTAAAAAAAAAAAAAAAAAATATTATTTTAATAAATTGTGCAAATTTTAAAAAAAATTCCCTGCTGACAAAATACTTTTTAAAAATAATTGTATCACTTATTGTTGTATTTAAACGTATCGAGAAGAATATAAGAAGTTAAACCAAATAATTTTTTTAAAAATTTATATTTTACCTGCTCCGTTTGTATAAGTGGACGGGAGATGCTTTTGTTCCTTTCCTGAAAAAAAGATTTGAAAAAAAAAATGTTTAATCTGTGCTGTGTTCATATCATATATCTTTATTTGTTACCAATTTACGTAAAATGCATCGTTTTACTATTTTTATGTTACACTTCGAATAAATATTTGTTAGCGAGACAATGCCTTAAAAGCCTTTGCAGTAGCTTTTTTAGAAAAATCAAATTCTATGGAAAAGAAATCGACATTTGTTGTTTCTAAAATATCTCGTTAATTCTCAATGTGTGCGATCAATGGTCGTTGTAAATATACATAAGCGAATGAACAGCAATAAATTTACAACAAATTCACGGACAAATTTGTACTAATACATACTGTACCCACCTGTTTTCTTCTTCTTCTACGGACGAGACATATCACAATTATCACCACAATAATTATTAAAAGTGTCGAACTGCTCCCAATAGCTAGAAACAAGATGAACTTGTTGTCTTCATCGATAGGAATAAATTCTGACATAGGACAGAAAATTGGCAGTATATAAAATAAAATATGGAGGATATTTTGAATAAGGATACATAAGATTAAGAACTCGTGTTTATGTGCATTTATATACATGGAATACTCGTTTAGAGGTTGCATTGTTTGTTAATGTATTGTATTGTATTTATTTTTTATCCTGCCCCCATCTCCTATGAGCATTTGACATTAGATTTTATAAGACTTTCTGTTACACTATACGCCCAAAAAAATGTAAAAATACATTTAAATTAGCACCCCAAACGCTTTTAGCAAAAATATTGATTTCTTTCAGTAAGAAAATGTATACTTAAAAAAACAATCTAAAATACAAAAAAGAATGCAGTAATTGAGGACACTGTGATGATATATATATATATATATATTTTTTTTTTTTCTATGGAAGATAAGACCGACAAACTGAAATTGACTATAGGACTATTGAATGGAGTTAAAAACCCCTCTCTAAATTCATTGCCTTTACTTTGATTCTTCTTAACAAATAAACGTTTATTTTGTGACAACTAAGTAAGTGGGGTCACTGTAAGGATATATTCAGACGAGATGCATTAGTTTTAATATATACCTGGCATTGTTTATCGTCTCAAGCCACTTATTCATTTGAATAAATGTTGTTTTTGAAATTAGTCTTTTTATATCCACTTACCTGTAGCAACTGTACAGGTGATAGTGTTGAAACGTGCATGCAGTCTACACGCTGAATACTTGACTGTCACAGTAAGATCATCTCCTTGATTGTAAGATCCTTTGAATACGCCATGATTCTCTCTTTGTTTCACCACAGTTTCACCATTAACCTGCATCTCCATGACACAAGGTTTAGCAGCACTGTCACAGTCAAATTCTAGTGTTAAATCCTTGCTAGCAATGGACGTATTACATGAATCAGTGGACATGTTATGCCCATTTATGTATAGTCTTCCAGTTGCTTCTAGTGGATCTGCACGAAAAAGCAATAATTATACTTGAAATTTAATCGAAACAAATTAAAAGCCTTATTTGAATTTATTAAGATGTAAAATAAAATCTGATATATTTTTAAAGAAACAATTATACATTAACATTATTGATATAAAAAAAGTATATGTATATAAATATTTGTATTTATTTAAAGTTAATACACTTAAACATTTTATACTTTTACTTCATCTATCAAATGCCTAGCACCAAGAGCGCAATGTTGACATTAAATAAGGAACTATTTAATGGAGAAACTATCATGATTGATTTGTTAAAGGTTATTTCAAATAAGAAAAAATAAAGTCTTGCCTTACAATGGTTCAAGAATTTAATAATTATAATAAATTATTATTTTACCATAAAATTGGGGAAAGTTGAGGATATTTGTGTAGTTTGTGTTTCTGTTGGCATGTTTTAGGTAGGCTCTGCATTTTGCTTGACGAAAACTTGAAATTTGTTTCGTATTAATTGAAATGATGAATACGTTCCTATCGATTTCTGTACAGTAAACCTCTGCAAGTGCAACAAATCCGGTACAACCGCTGTTGAGATTTAATGTGTACAGCTGGAAACAAACAGATGTATTAAGTATTTATTATGCTTAAATATTTTCTTAATTGAAAGATTTATCATTATTTGATTTTGTTTTAAATGGAAACGTAATATTAATATAAATATAATATAGTTAAATACGTTATCAATTAACATATCAGTACTGATATATATATATATATATATAATATATATATTTGTCAAATAATTTTAAAAAAAACACAAAATCATGATCCACGGTATTATATATATTTATATATATAAATACAATCGAAGACTTTATAATGTAAATGAATAAACTAACTCACTTTTTTAAAAGTTTCGCTTGATGATTCCTTCAGCTCAAAGATGAGAGACGATGTCTCTGGCAAGCTTTCCGTTAAACTGACCTCATAGTTAAAAATACATTTGCATTGGGTAGAACAATCATCTGGGAGTGGTCTAAAAGAACGAATGTCTTGTGCCACTGGGAAATGTATTAAAAGAAACAAACGAATAGAGATTGAAGTTAATATTTGTATGAGTACAAAAAGCTTTGATAGTATGGACAATAATTATAAAACCCTGCCCTAGTAACTCTTAAAAAAATATTTAATATAAAATAAAAATAAAAAATAATTTTTTAAAAATTTGAACTTCAGATTGTGTTTTAAACTCAATGTTGTCTGCCATAAAATAGAATTTCATCTAAGATAATTTCATGGATGCAGATACTTAGATTAAAAGTGTAGTAATTTGCTTAATTTAATTTAAAACGTGAATAATAATTAAATATAATTGAATTATATACATTTTGTTGTGAACATTTGTTCCTTAATTTTAATTTTACTTTCTTTGAGATTTCATTTTTTTCTAATATAGGTACAAACGGGTTAAATGATAATTAAATAAAGTGTCTATTTAAAAATTTGTTGACGTCTTTTAGCTCCTCATTTTTATTTCATTAAAAAAAAAAAAATTGAATATTTTATTAAGCCAATTTTCTCAAATTCAGTTGTCTAGAAGCTTAACTGAAACATGTGTATACAATAATTACCTATAGCTGTCCCAATTAGAATGATGTAGAATGCACACATCTGAATATTCATCTTGAGATCGTATCCCAGTTACATCGTTTCGAAATGAGTATGTTATTTGACAACATCGGTTTATTCCCATTCAGTTCAGTTCCATTTATCTGAAAGACCAATTTTTCTCCATAATAATTTCAATCATATGCTATACTCCTTTCATTCTGAAAACATAATACATAAAAAAGCAGATAACAACATAATGCGATAAACATAATAAATAAGTTCATAATCTTATTACAGTAACAGACATTACAATGATAATAATAATAATAATAACGTTATGGCTTCAAACGGGCCATGTATCGGATGCTATTTCGATTTCATTAAATTAATTAACTTAATATTACGATAGATAATATAAAAAAAATATGTAAAAATTTAGTTTGTTCAAAGGTTGCCAACCCCTAGTCAACATGTCTCATTAATGGATTTGCTGTAATAAACTTTAGTATGTTCCTAAATACAGCATCTATTGTTTATAAGTATTTTATGTTTGTATGTCAAAGTCTCAAATCTCTGAGTTATTTCAACGTAAATTCTGATTTATCTTGTTGGTAAACTTGATTTTTAGGCTGATTTAATCCAGTATCTTATCTTTTTGGAATTCATTGAATGATCCATTCAATTCTTCCTCACAAAGACTATGCTAAAATTATAAAACATTTTTACATTCTGAAATGAGTTTAGCTCTTTGGAATGATTTGTTATTCTATTTAATTTTGAGGATCTCCCTTTGGTTTCCATTTGACATTCTTTTCTTTGTCACACCAATTTCTAAACGGAAGCCTAGTTATAGTAATTTGACTGAAACAAAATGTACCAATGATTAAATGTTGTGGTGTACATGTTTACTCATATCTTGGTCTGATCATTTTTTTAAAAAAAAACGTTACTTACGGATTAAAATACAAGAGGCAACTCTATAGGTAACAGCTTTTTGTCGTTAGTTTGAACCAAAATTTTGGGATTTTCTTTATGTAAATAATGTTCGATTTTGTGAAACAAAGAAATTCCATTCTCCGATCACACATTTGTTAGGAAATTCCGTAAATGATTTGTTTCTACTGTGAAGGATATCGACCAGGTGACAGTGCATTGATTAATACTATCTTCTAATAATAGAGGAACATGATTTTCCCTGTCGTCAACGCAGGTGTGCTGATAAAAATAGTCAAACGGATATTACTGGTTTCTTTTATATTTCCCCCAGATATTTACGTCAAACATTGAATTACCAGTGACCTTCCAAAAGAATATATATAATGTATATATATATATATATATATATATATATATATATATATATATTTATATATATATTCTATATATATATATATATATATATATATATTAAAAAAAATATAAAAAATATATATATATATATATATATATATATATATATATATATATATATATATATATACAACATATATATATATATATATATATATATATATATATTATATATGTAGGCCTATATATAACAATTTTAGTCGAATAAAGCCTGCATTTATATTTAAAGCGTTGACCTTACCTTATTTAAAGTCAAATACTTTTACCTAAATAGTAAATTATTATTCCATGTTAAATTTTAATTAACACTGAATAAAATTAATATTTCAGCCTTGTATGATGTTGTTATTATTACTGCTCTATATAAAACAGACTACCTAGGCAAACCTCTATTGCATCTAAAGCAACGTTGTCTCTTCACGTCATAAAAACGAATAGGTAAACTTAGTCCCACAACCTCCTATTTATTTAGTCAATCCAAGATGGTCTTTTCTCACTAAACAGCTGTGAAGATTAAATGTTAATTTGACATAACTAAACCTAAACTGTCGTTCGTTTCAATACCATGATATATGCAAAAACCAAACGTAATATTTTCTTTTACAAAGTGTATTTACCAAAGTATTGCTTAGATTGAAGGTTCAATCTAGTTCAGCTTATTGTTTTAATTAATTAATGCTTTAATTAAAGATTCAGTCAATTTTCATTTCACTCAAATGCATTAATGTAAAATTACAAACAAGTGCGACTTCTTTCATATAAAACACACCCCTCCCCACACACACACACATATATATATATATGAATATATATATATATATATATATATATATATATATATATATATATATTATATATGTATATACAAACTTGCTATATATTTATAAATACTTTTATACCATTTTTATTTTTTATTTACACACACACACATATATATATATATATATATATATATATATATATATATATATATATATATATATATATATATATATATATATATATATATATATATATATATATATATTATATATGTATATGCAAACTTGCTAAATATTTATAAATACTTTTATACCAGTTTTATTTTTTATTAATGAAGCCAGAGTTGCATGTTCAGCATCTTGGATAAAATTGGGTGTCCCCCACGGCTGATCTCAATCATGTAGTCATTTCACGGAAACAACATGCACAACACGATAATCTTAAATGACGCTTCTCTGAGACGCTCCAAGTCAGCAGCAATAGGAGGCAAGGCTGCGTGTTTTCAGCAACGTTCTTCTCTATATGTTTAATTCTCAATGCTTCTACAGTTCGCTTTCAGGGACTTTGAAAACGGAGTGAAAGTCCATATCAGATCTAATGGTTAGCTGCCTTCGTTCAAAGACGAAGATACAAACAAAGGCCCTAAGTAGTGAACTGGTATTCGCTGATGATGTCACCTTAAAATCGCAACCAAAAAAAAATGATCTTCAAGGGTTTACCAATTGCCTCTCACACGCGTGTTAAAATTTTTAACTTATCATTTGTCTACATAAAAATAATCATAATTTTAAAAAATTCATGCTGCATGCTCTTAGTGAGAGGTGCCTTCCCTGGTTTGGCCATTTTAGAACAAATTAGAAATGTCTTATTTCAAGGAATCTGCTGTATGGAGTGTTCACAGAGGGAGCATGACTTAATGGCCGGCTGATGCTGCGCTATTAGGATCTTTAAAAAATAGGAATACGAGGAAAGGAAACGCATATATCGTTGAAAGGGAGATCATCTCAGATTACCCTTCCAACAGTAGAGTATGACGTAGTCAGTTGAGCAAAAGATGCACGACACTAAGACCTTGAAACAACACGCTCATTACAGCAGACCAAAGTTTACAAGCAGTTAGATTTCTTCAGCGGGTAAGTGCAGGCGCGACTGTGGTTCCAGGAGCGGCCAGGTAAGCCCATGGATAATGATTCAATCAGCTATTTCATCGTCTCAATAGGAATTAAGGATGTCAGATTATAAATGTCTAAAAATATGAAAACATAGAAAGTGATAATAGAGGTAGAGTATTGCCCTGATTTATATTACAAAATGGAAAACAAAATGGTTCGACTTTGTGCCAGCAGATTGATTTGAATGACTACTCCACTTTTTATTTTTAAAGTGAGTTATTCATCTTTAGTGATGTTTCCGTCCCATATGAATGATAGCGTGTCCAAAAATGAAAGTGACATGATTAACGTTTGAAAAAGTAGTTTACTGTAATTTGTATTTTAGTTTTTTTTTTGTTTTTTATCATACAAAGAGTAAGACGTTTTAAAAAGAATGTAAATATTTGTTCTGATGTCGCCAAATATTCATATATTAGTAACAAGCAGTTTGCTATGTATTCATACTTGATGATAATTATGAATTGATGGATCAATTCAGACATGGATCAAAGTATATATGATGGACTTTATTGACTTGTATGTAAACGCGGGATAAGAAGGAGGTGGTTGATGGAGGAATGTATTAATTCATTGTAAGTTAGGAAGGATGGATAGATGAGTTTGAGGTTTAGAATTTTGGAGGTTGTGGAAATGCATTAATGGAATTGAGGCTTGCTCCAATGATTAATGTCCTTAGTGCATTTATCAACTAAATGAAAAGTATGTATATATGTATCTTATCATACAAACAAGTGTTTTAATTTAGTGGTTAATCTATAGGGATTTGTGTTTGCCGATTTTGAATTGACGCATTATTGTGAACTTGATCTCAAATACACATAGTTTTATTAATGATGTAAATATAAAATATACTAAGATAGTAATTTGCTTTTTTAACGAGTGAAGAGGTCGAATATTGGACATATTTATAAATTTATTCGCAGACAAGATTGCGAAAAAAATATAAATGAATTGTCGGATGATACTTTCCATAGATTATAAAAATATTCGTTGAAAATTTGGTTTTATCTATTTTAACTCAATTCACTTTTATATAAGATACAGTAAATGCCGGAAATATTTCGAAAGATATCATTACTCATGGGAACTAAACAATTTAAAACACGTGTCAATATGGGTCAGGGTTATGCTCCTATGACTCATTTTCCGTTGTTGTTGTGTTTACTAAGATCATTACAGTAGTCTACTATGACTCATTCGTTACTATTGTTTTGTTATTCCACGTCGAAAATTTCAAGCGACCAATGTCTTTATTTTGTTACAGTAAATTAATAAACTTAATTTAAATATGAATCATTTCATATAATTAAATAGTTATGATATGTTCACTATGCATTTCTTTCCGGCACAAAATTTTAAAGAGTTTTGAAGAACTGTACACGTTTTCATGTTACCCAGTTGTTCAAAGTTTTAGTAATTGAAAGTTCTTTTTTTAGTCCATATATGCGTATTTTAAACATTTTATTTTATTTTTTAATGCTTAACATTTAAGATAATATTTTCCAAAACTGGAATGGGCTCTAGTTTAATACAAAGACTATCCTTTTAAAACGTTTTAACCTAGCCCTATGAAATGTTAATAAAAAAGAAAAGAGAATTGTTTAGAGCAGCGCTGCTATTCATGCTGTGCCAAAACCATCGTAAGTTACACGTTTTAAAATCATCTTGATATTTTTCCCATTAAAATAGTTTTGTTTAAATAACATTACAATGATTTCTCATTCTCACAATGAACTAAATGATATTGCACTAACTTTCAAAAAAAAAAATTAAATTAAATTAATTTTTTAAATTTTTGTATTTTTTTAAAGGACATTTAAAAAAATTTATACTCGTTTAACAAAAAATGTTTAAAAGTTCTGCTTTTATTCCTAAGTTTAAAGGCAATATATTTTTTTCATATCGATAAAATATAGATTTTCTCTTCATTCTAACCCACACTATTTTTATTATTTCATTTTGTTGTCCTTCTTTTCAAATTATTTTGTAACATTTAATTTTTTATTTTATTTTACAAATTTAGCTTTAATGAGCTATTGTTCATCATGCAATGATCCAGTAAGGGAAGGGACTGATCATGCCATCGAACTTCAGTTGTCGACCTCAAACAAGAAATCAACACATACTTTACGAATATCCTCGTCAACACATGGTATCATAGCTAACTGTTATAATAACGGGACATGTAAAGACATCGTGTCCGATCTGTACAGCACCACCCTAGTCATAAAAAGTGAATGGTGTCTTGTTACAGTGAAGATACACAACGTTTCAAGAGCTGGCTTAAAAACAGACCAACGTGCCTCATTTTCAGCTGGATTTATGGAAAACTCACAGCTTGACCAAAGAATGTCGAAATGTGTGCCTGCCATTTTCTGTATGTTTTATGATTACATTTCTATAGCATGTGTGATAGTAATGGCCTTTTATTTTTAAATAATTTTATTTATACATACATAATTTTGTTGCATATTCATTTTACTAAAATTATTATTGAAACAATCTAATCCAGTTTATAATTGCTCAAGAAGAATAGTATTTTTAAGACTAAAATGTGCTTTAAACATGAGTATATCTTTAATATATTAACAACATACATAGATTAGTCATGTTAGGTTTTTCATGATATGCAATATAATGCGTAAAGAATGTCAGCCCCAGTACATAAATACAAGTATACGAGGTAACTGTTGAAATTGTTAACATAAAAAAATATACTAACTGTAATGTAAACATGCTGGAAAATATTTAAATACTTTATTGCAATACATTAAATTCATTATAATATTACATTTTTAACACAGAAAAATAAAATGGTAGATATTTAATCTAATCAGCGTTATACGTCAACATATATTGTATAGAGTTAATCTAATGGTTTTATTTTATTGTATTTGTTTTACAGCAAAACCTCAAAACATCAACTGTACATTGTCGGAACTTGTAAGTGGACTCTATGTGAACTGTTTTTCTGATCAAGTTTTTCCCAGAGGCAAATGTTTCTTTTCCGCCAACTTTGTTTTGGTGAGATATTATAAATGTTGTCTATATTCTGTGTTTTTTGTGTTTTCAGTTCTTTATTGTATTGCTATCACCATAGTAATATAAGAGCCCAGTCTCTTCCAAACATTTTAACGATAATTTTCCATGTATCAAAATCAATGCTTATGAGAAATGGTGCATACCGAAAAGCTTTAAATTAAATGTTCAACTTGAAAATGTGGAGCACGTCTTAAAAGTACACAGTACGGCAAGGTTTGGCTGAGTAATGAATGTGTTGTGAGTTTTGTACATAGTATGGCAAGGTTTGGCTGAGTAATGAATGTGTTGTGAGTTTTGTATGTGTTCTATTTTTAAATTGTATTTTTAAATAAGCAAAATAAATAATTTTGTGAAGAATACGTCGATATTAACTGTCAAAAATATTTGAAACTTGCATTCTCTATTTACCTCAACAAATGTCATAATAGGTACACGCTGTATATTTTGTAGGACGTATTTCTCTTAATTCAAGAAAAAAAACTCTCTCTTTTGAAATAAAAGTCACATAATTAGGGAGTTTAATTTTGCCAAAAAGTTTCTTAAGCCCTAAATAATCATTTCGTGAATCTTTTGTTGCGTTTGTTTTGTTTTTCTAAATTAATTCCTAAAAGCAAAACTAGCAAAAATTAAATTAATTCAAAAGTGTATCGCTTGGAGGATCGATTCAATTTGGCACATATAGTCCTTGTAAAGTTTTTACCATTTTATTTGGTTGCATTAAACAAAATGTAGTCATCGATAAAATGGGTTTTAGAGGAAATATGTCAAGCGAAATGCTTGTTTTATTATCTAGGTGATCTGAATTTAATCATTTATTCTATTAAACTATTATTCTATTATTATTGTGGATTTTTTGTGTTTTTTTTTTAGTTTTTGGGTTTTTTTGTTTAGTTTTACTTTTTAAAATTTGTTTTACCTTTTTTTATAACTTGTGAAACTTTCATTTTTGAAAACATATTTTAGGAAAGTAATAGATTAGTCATCACAAATACGGCCTATGAAAAAGACAACACAACATATTTTCACGTTAATTGTAGCTTGCATCTACCTGGAGCAAATTTAAGTGTCGAAAATAAGGTGGTTAATGTAACCCTATACCCCAACGTCACAGAGAACCAAAGTGACATTCCTTTATATGGAATTAATTCTACTGTCACCTTTGTTATAGGTAAGAACATGTGTTTGTGCTCTGCGTTTCAGTTGACTTGAAAATCTTATGATTTCAGCAAAGAATAAAGGTTTTAAAGATGTCGACAAAATGTTAACATCGGGGACACATTGAAATGCAACAATAAGCGTTATTGATTAGCATCACAGTATTTTATTGACCAGTATCCCAGTGCTTATGGAAAGACAGCAAATTGAAAATTAGAATTCAAACAAAATTATAAATATTTATAAATACAAATTCAATTAAATTGAGATCTGATCGATTACTCATCAGAAGAATTTCTGAAAAAACGTATTTGAAAAAAAAAAAAACTATTCAAAAAGTAAAAACAGGGAACTTGTTTCTTTGACAGAAAATTAAGATAAAAAGGGATATGCTGCTAGTTAAAAACAAGCTTAGAGACAATTAAATTAAATATACTTGCAGATATTAAAAAAAAACTATTTAAAATGGTGTAAATAAAATAATTTATTTTTTTAGATTTGCCAAGTGTTGGTATACCAGATTGTCCTACTGTCATAACTGAAGGAAAAAGTGTCAAATGTGTTTGTAAAAGATTGGACAAGAGTGTTTATGGGGTTTCTTTGGAGTGGTATGATAAGGACACCAATGCGTTAGTTAGTGGTGAAGTGCTGTCATTTGTAGCTAACAGGATTCAACCGAGTGAATATTTTTTTTACTTTCGGCAAAACAGTATTTTTTTCTTTTATACCAAACTTGAAAAGGGTGATTTTTTTATTTTTTTTTTGTGTAGCTCATTTGCGTTCAACATGTTGTCATTTGTAGATAACAGGATTCAACCGAGTGAATATTTTTTTTTATTATTAAATGTCTTTACAAAAAAAAAAAAAAAAAAAAAAAATAATAATCTACATATTTTCCTCAAAGCCTATTACTTTAATATTGTAGTTATTCAAACATTAAGTTTATCAAACATATGCAGTTATTATGCTTTTTAATTGTGTTAAATGTAAAAAAAATCATTTCACTCCAGTATATAATATTAATAGATATGTTTAGTTTATTAAATGAATGCACCGTCTTTTATTAACTACAATTTTTTATTTGTTCATTTGCATTTTATAGTTTACTATTGCAAGTCAACCAACATTTTTGGATGGGAAAGTAAACATGTATACTACCGGCCGTTAATAGATGGTAAATTTTAATATATATATTATATTTTGCTATCATAAAATGTGTACATATACCCAGTGTTGCTGCTATTCGGCATTTGTCTGAAATAAAAAGTCATAAAAATTCAGACAAACTCATTATTTAAAAATGTATTCAAAATCGTCAATAATATTTTAAATTTGTTTTTCCAAGATACATACACGTTTACTACAAATATTTCACCAAAAAGGACATACATCATCTTAGTTTAAGTGAACTAACAATATATATTAAAGCCAATTTACCCATTTTGTAAAACTTCACAAAAGTTCATGACATTTGATTTTTCATGAACACACGCTTTAAAAATTAAAAATATTGTTAAATATAAATAAAAACTCAATTTATTGCATTTTTTTATGTAATACTTGTCTTTTTATTTATTTAATGTATATCTCAGAGTATCTAGTCGTTAAAAATATACTTTTGTTTCAATTATATTGAAAAATAAATTTTCATTATTATTATTTACAATTTTTTAATTAGTAAGTTCACCTTATATATAATGATAAAACGAGTTTATTTCTGCTTTTTCAACAGGAGGCAATGATATGGTTAAGTTTATAGCCGCATCCATTGCAGTTGCCACCATCTTGACAATGTTGGCTCTAGCGTTTAAGTGTCTTAGGGGAAGATTCAGGTGGGAATTCCCCATCACATCATTAGGTGAGAATCAACTTTGACATTTTTAGCATCAATAATTAATTAATATTTTTTTAGCAAATAACACTTCGAATCTGTAAATACGTACAACATGCTGGCTATGAAACCCCTCCCAAACCAAACACTTTCTAAAACATATTTTATTTGAAACGATGTGAGGGACAATACGTTTTTTTTTATTTTTCTTAAATCAGAAAATCACTTGTTTAAAACGGATTAAGTCTACCTTTCGGGATTTTCAACAGCAACAAAGGGACGGGGGGAGAGGGGGGGGGGGAAACGGAGGCAAAAAACCCTTTAAAAAATCCAACATCTTTTTAAATGGGGAATGTAATATTTACTATAAATAATCCATACAATTGTAGTTCAGGGATTTTCTAGTAAGTTTGGATTCCATTTTTGAGAAACAAATATTTTAATGTATGAAATTGATATACTTTAATTCCTTAAAATTTCCTTGTACAAAATGTGCAGGTACTTTCTATTTAAAAATAAAATGACGATATATTTCTATGACATTTGTCTAACAGCAAGAAGAGCCAATGGCAACCTTGACATAGCACAAAGAAGTCAGAAAGAAATCCAAGATGACGGCTATTTGGAAATCATAGAAAGGAAGAGTGAAAATGTCATGGACAAACTTCCCGGCAGATACGATTGCTTGAATGAATATCATCTTTACGAAACTCTGGACGAGCCAGAAAATAGAGGGAAAACCTGATAGATCATCAGGCGGTGCTCGTTAGTTGTGGTCATAAAATAAAGCGCAGTTACATTTCTCACATGGTGTGATTATATTTCCCATGCAATCACTTTTTAAGTGTACACATTTATAATTTTAAACCGTGTACATGTTTATAATTTTAGACAATTTGGCATTTATTTTAGGAAATAGAGAAATTTAGTTAACAACTCACATACAGTGTACATATTTTGATAACGTAACGTTGCCTACCCCTGGAAATAACAGAAATCGTAACATATTTTTAATCTCTTTATTGCATCATCATAACATGAAACGCGAAAACTAGTTAATAAGTTAATTTTGGGACACATGCGTCTTATGTTAAATTTTACTCAATGGAAAATCACTATTATCACTGTCTGCAAGCGTTTTATAGTCTGATGATAACGATACAAATACGTTCCTTGGTGACTTTGGGAAGTTACTAAGTTACGCCGTTGGTCAACACTTTCTTTTGGCAAATGGCATCTGGTTCCAGCGGTAAGACGAGGTCGACACAGCTGGTGACGGGATTGAATGAGGTGAATGTCGATGACAGAAACATTGCAAATCCCCTCTACATGCATAGGAGCCAAACTGATCAACAAATTGATCGTGGGCCCTTAATATATAGAAGAAGAAGAAGTATCTTGTCGTGTGCCTAGTGATCCATGTCCGTTGACGGACTAGTTGTTTATCAGTGTTCTACAATGGATCCAGTCTACATGTTACGAAGGACAGGCCGTAACTGTTTCACCAACAAATTTTCATAGTTATTCGTTTATTGAGACGAAATGCTTAGCTTTCGATAAGTGCCAATTTTTTTAACAGTTTTTAGTTCGATGTGTACTATAAAATGATCATTTCTGTTGTATCAATTAATCATTATAACCCACCATGTTATATTGTGTTGTTTTTTTTTCTATTACCACTTTCGAAATTAAATGAATAGGCTTAATCATCAGGTTAATTCAGTGGCAGCAATGAATTTTGTCTGCTATTAAGGTATATATGTATACCTAATAGCAGACAAAATTCATTATATATAAACAAAATTTGACACTCATTTCCTTTATAATCCAGAGCTAAATAAATATTTGAGTTTATGAACTTATTAAAAAATATTCCTCTCTGTTTCCGAGGCCCCTAATGCTATTATTTCTAGCATAACTATATAAATAACATTGGAAATATTGTTCCTTTGCGTGGATGGATGGATCTAGACAAAACTTATTACATTTACACATGATTTACCATATTCAAATATCATTTTTATTTATATAAGCAATATAATATAAATAATTGGCTTAATCTATCATACAGGCACCTACTGGAATTACTCGAAGTAGGCCATGCCTTATAGTCGAATCAACAATAGTTCACATTGAAATATCGATAGATTTAAAAGTAATAATATGAATTATATTCATTGTCGGTCTGGAACAGAGGTCCCAAACTTTTTTGTCTCGTAGACCACTTGCCATGTTTTTCGGTTTTGGGTTGACCCCCTGCTTACCTGATATTGATTTTTTTGCAAATTCATTAACTTCAAATGTATTTTTGAAAGCCGGTAGAGTGCTACTTCCTTTGAAAGATTTAAATTTAGAACGGTAGTTAAATGTAGTGTGGAAACTTTTGAAAAACATGTTAAGTTTTATACATTAATTAATTTAAAATCAAATTAAATTGAACCAAATTAGAATTTAATTTTTGTTTCATAAAATAACAAAGCAAAAAATAAATACTTGTAGTGTTAGGGATGAACCTGATGCTTTAATAATAAATTTTCAACATTTGGCATCAATTTAGTTTGGTTTAATCTCAAATCTCCTCGGTTAATGATGTCCAGTTTATTTCTTTTATTTTTTTTGTTAGGAGATTGTAACTGCGCGCCGAAACCCCTTTCCATTCGGAGCTGCGGGAAACTGCTAGTTTATAATAATTCTTAAACAGTTTCATATTTCAGAAAAATGTACCTAAAAACTCAAATTTTATTATGATTTTTCATCACGTTTCGTGAACATTTATGTTTTTAAAATTTTACTTCATAGGTACGTTTAAATTTATGTAGGAAGATATGTCTGTATATTATAAGGTAATATTAGGTAAGAACATAGGTACTATCTGTATATGTGGATTATTTCATTCAACCTGCATACGTGAGATCCACTATCTTTGACCGCTGGCGTAGTTAGTGCCACCCTGTGCGGGCCAAGATTTTTTCCACGCTTCTGTCACGATACAAACGCTTCAGTTTTCCAAAAAAAATACCGTCCCTCCATTTAAAGAAAATGGACGGACCACCTCCCCAATCCGCGCTCTTTCTACACACTGCCTGAGGCGAAGCTAGAGTTTTAGGTGCCAGGAACAAGACTCAGCCTTACAACCCCCACTTCCCCCATTTAATTTTGAAACCATTATTTTTACCCATTAAGTAAATAACACCAACTTCCATTTTGGTTCCCCCGCTAGTTTGGCGCCCTGTGAAATTCGTGCCCCCTCTTGCCCCCTTATTTATGCTTCTAGTCACTTGCACTGCCTACTCCAAAATCTAAAATTCAGCACCTTGCCCGGAGTTACGGCATAGAAAAAAAAACTTTACAGTATTTCCACTATTTATTTTGCACACAACTAATTCTAAAGGATGTACATTTCTTTAACACAAAAGGGGCGTCTCTATTTATGTCAACAATTTTAAATTAATGTTGCCTCTTCCTTTTCAACTATCGTTGTAACTATGTTACCGAAGTAGCATATTTTTTTAAAACAGTTTAATGAATAATAAATAAAAGGTTCACTATTGATGTGCCCAATGAAATCGGGTATATTTAAAATGTTGCTACTAACTATGGACTTTTTAAAAGCTTGATACCATCATAAACTAACAACTTTATAATTTACATGTATCCCTACTTATATTTATGCTTCATGTCAAATTGAATTTGAAAAGAGATTGCACATGTTTGATGATAAGCAAGAACTATAATAAATTGTTAGACTTTTATGTTATAAATTTTATTAGTTTTAAAAATTATAACACAAATTGGTTCTTCAATTTTAATTCACCGTAAAAAATTATTATTAGGCACACTTCCAATAAGAACAAAAAATGTTCTTTTAAATAAATATTATTTTACAATATAGGCCTCAATTATTTCACATTTCCATTAAAACACTTCAAACTTCCAATAAAACTAATATTCTTTTTGCATAAAACATATTTACTTCTTTTAAAGTCCTCCGCTACTGCGGTGGCCAAATTTGAACAATATGGACCAAATGGTCTAGAATGGCGTTGAATACATTCAAACCATTTGCTTTAACACGTCAACGCAAAATGAACCCACACATATAAGAATCGAGCATATGTCTGTGTGTTCCATTGTTTCCCTCTTTTGCGAATTTCCAAGATGTTCGATGCGTTGAGTATTGACATTCCGTTTACTTTGTGGTTGTGAGCACATTGTCTGACGTGAATAATTATGCTATAATACAGTGTTGTTGTAGAAACAAGATACAACTGACTTCATTGTGAACTAATGCAGAAATTGTCAAAGAATTCATGGTGTCTACAGAAGCAGTTGTATTTATTCAACAGGACATTGAATAGCAGCAGTAAGATTATTGAGGTACCCACAAATTACATATTTTAGCCGTTGTTGGCCTTAGTTATATATTTTAAAATTCTTATTCAAATTCCCGTTTTTATGTGGCCATTATAAACTGCTTCTACTATAGCTCACCTAGTAACCGGCCTTTGCGCTGCCAAATATGTTGTAGTTTAAATACGCGGATGTTGTGTCTTTGGGAATAGTAGGCTATAAGCAAAGATGTGTTTCTTTTTTCATTTATTTGAAACTTGTGAGTTGAATTTCATTAAAAATTAATGGAAAATTCAATTTCATATTAATATACTCCATATCGATCTTCAGATTTAGCTTAACATTTTTGACGCAGGTTTTACTCACGGAAGAAGAGAAAGTTATCACACTCGCACGCATTGTGTTTAGATTTTAGATCCAATAGTTGGTCTATTCTGAAGTCCAGTGATTGGGGGGGGGGGTGGGTGGGGGAGCTATTAAGTAAATATAAGAATAAATAATATTTAGTTACTTCGTAGGCCGCCAAGCGGGTGCTGGTGGGCCGCATGTTGTGCAGGCCTGTGTTTACTGTGTTAGATAATTTAAAGAGAGCATAACAATGTAAAAAGCTTTACTTTTGAACTATGCTTTATTCTAAAATATAAAACTCTTAGTGTAAAAAAATATGTAAAAACCCACTTAAAATTAATTTTTCATTTTTTTCCTTTTATTCTCTTTTTAAAGAGTGTATATATGTATTATGAATTTAAAATATGATTTTATGTTATTTAAAAATTTTTTTTTTTTTTACAGACTCAAACTTTTTACCCAGTGAGATTAATACTTGTGCTCTCTTTATTCCAATTGTAATTGTTGTATTCTTTCTCATTGTGTTGATTCCAAGGGGCACATGGTTAAGGTATGTTAATTGACATCACATGAAAAAAATTCTTACACTGAACATGATTCTTCCCAAAAATAATTTATAATGCCCCTATTAAATATGTTATCTCCTTACATATTTTAAAATTTAAACAAATAAAAATAAATTAATTATTTAGGTATTACCATGACACAAACATTTTTTTTACCATATTTTTTTTTTACTATTTACCGTTATGTCTATATTGTTTAACAAATTTGTTTATTGAAAATTTTATTCAATATAAAAATTTAAATTAATTGGAAACAAAAACTTTCAAATTAATTTTAAAAGCTTAATTAAACTTTAATAAATGGATATAACATTTCTTATATTTTAGACAGTTGTCATGGTATCCTTCGACATCAAAGAAAGAAAAATCAGCATTGGATGTTAAAAATTCCAGTCCAGAATCTAACCAAAATGAAGGTAGTCTGATATATGTATACACACATGTATTAATTTATACAATTATATTATTTGTTAAAAATAAATGTTTATCCCACTATTGAAGGAAATAATGTTTTAAAACTAATGCCTTTTTAGTGTTCTATTTTTCATGAAAAACTATCCTATTTGATTAAGTCAGCATTGAAATACAAAGCTAAATGTTTAAAGAAATACATATTTGTATAGTCATTCATTAAAAAAAAATAATAATTCATTTGTATAAGTTAAGCTAATAAATTATTTTAATTTTTCATTATTTAATTTTCAGATCAGGTCACACCTTTGCCTAATAAATCCAAACCTGCAAGATTAGTAATTCCAGAAATAGAAGAGTGTCTTTATTTGGGTAAATAAGCACATGGAGATTATAATATTAAGAACATTCTTTCCAAATTTGGGGTGCGAGAAGGCAATTTAGGAGGAATGTTGGAGGAATGGGTATTTGAGAACATAAGCTTTCAAATTATTACATACATTTGTGTATATTTCACAAGAATATCTTCATTAGCATTTTCCTTTATGTAATAAATCAAAAAATATTATTTATAAATTCTACATATCACTTTGCCATTAAATGAATAAAGTAGAACGTCATTATTTTCAACTTTTAAATGCACTGTCACTTTTGTAGTGGGTTCCAGACTGTGTGTAAACCATTTGTACTGGTGCAAGACCAGTCAAATAATTCACAGTAGGTGCAGAGGATTAAAAAGCTTTGGAAAACTGATCAATAGTGTCACTGACATTTCTTAAAAATACCCACCTTTAATTAAGAGTAAACATAGATTGATTTAAAAATATGAAAAGCTTACATTACTTGGATGCCTTAATTTACATGTTTACAAATCATTCCACCTTTAAGCCACATATTTACTAGATACGGATTCATATAATGCAGTATGATGCAAAACCACCTGACAAATGTCTAACATGTAACCAATCATTGTAAAAATTATAGTCAAAATAGAAAACAACAGTTGCTTATTGTATAAATGCCTGTTGTTAATATGACAGTTAAAAAGATAAATGAATTCTTTAAATTATGTTTGGAGTTTGATTAAGATAAGTTGTTCTAAACTTTTGTGTCCCATATCAATGGCCCACTTATTAGTCCCCAAGAAGTTACTAAGAATGTTTTTTTTTAAATTTTTTTTTTTAAAATTACAAATAGCCCATGGAAACCCTGATTCATTAACCATTTTGGTTAAGAACCACTTTATTAAGATTATATAAAAATTAATCAATGTCTTTTAAAAGTGTTTACAGAAAAATCAATTCATTCCACTATAACCCATCATTAGAGAGAAAGGTTTTCAAAAATTAGTACAGATTTAGTTCTGCTTTAATAATTGATATTAGCAATGAAAGTATAAAATTAGTTGATAAATATTTTGATGAAAACAATAAAATATAAATTAAAAAAAAAAAATTTGTAATTAACCAAACAGTACAGCATTTTAATAAATATGGTGATTAAAAACACATTGTCAATTTCATGGAATCTATCCTCGAGCCTATACTATAAACTAATGGTGGCAAGGCAGGGTTCTTATCACTTTTCTTTCACTTTTTAAAACTTCTAAAAGACTTAATAGAGATAAAGAATTGCATCTATCATTCATAAACAGATAGCAATAAGTCTTTTGTTAAGAATTTCATATTGATCATACTGGATGCTTAATTTTTTTTTAAACTCTTGCTTCTCCTAACAATAGCAAACAACAATTTTAAATTTTTTTATTATAGTTGTTCCAAGTGTAATGAATGTATTTTTGTTTAAAATACAGATCAAGCTGACAACATGTTTTCAAGACCCGAAAGAATACCAAATCTGAAAAGCAAATATGAAACCTGCACCAAGAATTCTGGCCACGCTGCTTTCATTTCTATCAAAGATTTCAAAATGAGTGACTTGCCTGATGCCTATCAAAAGAGCGACATTTACAAATTCATTAAAACTATGGTAGATCTCACTGTCCTCCTCACCGCCAAATGTACCAGTAGTAAGAATGGTGGTCATTGTGCTGTTAAACTGGGTACTGGATGGATCTCTTCTGTTATAGAGCACGAAAATGGTCAAATGTGCCCATGCATTAAATGTACTCAGTCATTTAATCCCAGCTCTAGATGGGGAGAAGTTATTGTGTGCACTTCAAAATATGTGTTTTTGAATAATGATGAGGCTAAAACAACAAAATGTACGCTTTTTTATAATGATTATGATAGCAAATGTGTAACGATTGATGCTTACGCTAGAGAAGCAGTCGACAGAAAAAGCGACATTTCCAAGTTAAAATGTGTGACTTGCAATGGTGATTTGCTCAAGCAGCTAAATACAATCTTAAATAAATGGAATCGTCTACACAAAAAGGTCAATAGGAGTTTCTTAGACGCACGGGAAATGAAGAAATTAACATGTATAGTGTCTCACATTCACGGGCAACCTAAGATGATTTCTTTAGGAATGTGGGCCAAGAGATGCCCGATGGGTCACTTAAACTGTTACACCGAACTAACAAAGTACACTTACTCTAATGCTACATGTCCTGGCAGTGCTGGTGCTTATGTCTATTTACAATGTAGAGATAACCGTGGCTGGCTGTATGAACATTTCCACTGTGGGGTTGATGCTGATGGAAATAATTGTAGCGGAACTGGGAAAGATTATAGTTATAAGGAAAATGTAAAGGGAGATTCACATTTGCGAAGAAGAGTCTAAAACACTATTATGTTGTTATGAAATGTCAATTATAACTTTATTAATTTTTTTTTTTCATTTGAGAATAATGTCTTTGTTAATATACCAAATCTATCTTTTATATTGAGGCTCATTCAATAAAATTTTTAAATCATAATATTAATTTAATTATTTAAAATGACTTAGGCCTATGGCACTTATCAAAACAATAGGCAAATAAAAATGCATTGTTTCCTCCTTTTAAAAAAAAAGAAATATTGAAACTAAACCAATTTTTACTACGAGTTTTGCTTTGAATAGACATGTTTGGCTATGGATTGAAATGAACATTTTCAATTTGTTTCAAGTAATAGTCAATTTTAGTCAGTTTAATTTAGCTCAACCTAACATTTTTAATGTTATTTTGTTGTTGTTGTTTATCAAATGAATATATATGTTTATTTGTTAAAGATTGTAATTGTTTTTTCAAGGCTAATGTATTACCAAATGTTTTTTTTTAAAGTTTTTCTTCTTTGTAATGAAATACAAAAAAAAATATATATATACATATATATAATTTTACTAATTAAAAATAATAATTAATTAATAAATCTAAGTAAACTGGTAAGGTCATGAAGCGTGTTTTCCATTTCCAACTTAGTTACAAATGTAATTATTTCTGACATAGTTTATAGTATCATATGCTATCATAAGACCTCACACAGGAAAGAAAAGGTGGCTGTTTTCTTTTTTTTTTTTTTTAAATTAATATTGCTTGAAGCTGCATTCTCAAAATAGCACAGACAGATTTAGCAAAATGGAGCTTATCTATCCAGATTATTACACATTATAAATGTGCTCATGCTGGTCAATAGAGTTTAAAAATTAAAATAAATGGTAGGGGGAGTTGGGGCACAGTGGATCAGAAATCTTTTTTTTTTTAATATTCCAAAAGTTTTCACAGATATTTGAATGTTGTATGTGCACAATAATTGTATTACATCTTGGCCTTGGATAGGAATCCTTAAAATGTGGCTAAATATTATATTCTTGCCCACAGAGCGTTTCAAAGTGTGCAGGGGTAAGTGATTCACTGTGCCCCGGTACCGGGGCACAGTGAATCACTACCTGGGGCACAGTGAATCAATATGGAAAATGAATCATTATCTCTGGCTTACTTAAAATTGACTTAAATTATAGTGAGGGTTGTGAATTTAATGCAATTATTGCACTGAATGTTATTTTTCATATGATAATCTTGTATAAACTCAAATATAAACAGTCATACAACCTACTTATTTTCTAATTGATATCTGAGTATCTGTGACTTTTTACGTCCGTTTGTTAAACATAATGAATAATTTATTTATTTGTAACACCAAACAATTTAAATGATAAAATATAAAATGACAACAAAACAATAATTGCAAAGAATCAACATAGAAAATAGCCATTTCTGATAAATCAATATAAAAATTGAAATGGCGAGCAACTCGAGCCATCCCTCCGTGGAGCAGAGGTCTGGGCAATTTGACAATTCTTCTTCTTCATTATCAAAAATTTGGCAGCATTTATATTTTGGTGAAAATGATGTTTGGTCTAATCCAGATTGCAGTGGCCCTGAGTTGCCTTTTCGACATATCTGCGGAGACTTGAAAATTTAATGTTGGTGTCTTTGCTAACAGTTGTAATAGATTTTCCTTCCTCCAAAGCATTGTAGTAATGGTCTGGGCAACTTAACAATGATTCTTATTCATTATAACAAATTTTGCAGCATTTATATTTTAGGTTGGCTTTTCTACATATCTGCGGAGACTTGAAAATTGAATGTTGGTGTCTTTGCCATCAGTCCAAAGAGATTTTCCTTCCTCCAAAACATGTTGTACAGCCTCCTTCATGGCTTCAGCTGTTGTGTAACCAACATTTCTATTTGACTCTCTTTTTCTAACCATTTTATCTGGAAGAGGAAAAAAAAAGGAACACAACTGAATTATTGAGAAATCGGTTTATTAAAGAATAATTATTTAATTTAAAATGTCTTATCTTAATCTTCACTGGTATTAAAATCTAGGCCAAATTCATACTTTTTCTGATTTAAGTTATATTCCACAAACTTGCGTTTAACATATGTATGTCAATATTGAATAATTATTTAATTTAAAATGTCTTATCTTAATCTTCACTGGTATTAAAATCTAGGCCAAATTCATACTTTTTCTGATTTAAGTTATATTCCACAAACTTGCGTTTAACATATGTATGTCAATATATTAAAATATTATTAAAGAGCATAAATGGGGCACATTGAATCAATAGCTTAAATGATCCACTGTGCCCCGATTCACTGTGCCCCGTGATAAAAAAAATTAAACAAATTTAATTTTCTGCTACATGGCTGGCTGCATAGGACTGGTAAATTGTTTTAATACATTCTACTAGGTCACTAATGCTAATCAATTACATCGAATTTTTACAATCTTAATAATAAAATCTGTGAAATAAAATTAGAGAAGGTCCTAAAATTTACTTTTGATGGTAAAAAACATACCTTACCTTGTAAAATTTCAAATTGACGTTAGAACAAGCAATTCTGTATAAATAAAGTTGGCGGATGTAAATACGCAAATAATGATGACATCAGCAACAGAAATCTCCCGGTGATTTGGTAGAAAATACCACTGATTCACTGTGCCCCTTGATCCACTGTGCCCCAACTCCCCCTACACGATAGACAAAACTTTGAAAACCTCGCCGTCTACATTTTTTGACTATGTATATTTTAATAAGAAGTTGTATTTAACTTAACTTAGCGTTCAACATATTTCTTATGAGAGTAGGCAAGCCTGTTCTATTGCGAGTTGTGAGGTTATCTTGTTTGTATACAATCGTCGCAGCAAGAGAGTTTTTGAGTGGAGAGAGAGAAAATAAAATAACCACAATATATCATAATATATGAATTATTTTTTTTTGTTCAATGTATTAAAAGAAAAATGTTTCTCATTTACAAATATTTTTCATTTTAATCCTATATCTTAAACAGGCAACAAAAGTCGATGTGATCAGTAAATTGCAGTCACTTTCTTATTCATGACAGAAATATGTTGAGCAAGTAATTTAATAAGATTGTAAAAAACAGAAATTAAAAAGATATATTTAAAATAACTTCATCTACAGAGTTGTGTGGAAAAAATCGTTATATACAGTATCAACCCACTATGAAGATTTCTGAAATGAATCTTGGCTTTGTTGTTTAACTTGCCTTTAAGAGTTTAATTTCATTCTGTACCTTTCCTTTCAGAAAAGAACTTAAAAATGAAAAAGACCAATATTTCTGAAGCAGGGAAAGGTTAAATGAATTTACGTGCTTGCTACGGGAAAATACTTTTTCGAATCGACAGTTTTCTTATGAGAACCGAGTCACCAAATGAATTAAAGTCGCATCCGAGGTTTTACCGTTATATTTTCCATAAAAGAAGAAGGATTCGAAGTTCTTTTTTTTTAAATTGCCCCCCCCCCCCCCCCCCCCCCACCCCATGCTCTAGAATAATAGAGACAGCTATGTCAATTCCGGAAATACATTTTCATTGAAAAATAAGATATTCCTTGAACATGCTTAAGTTGCGGTAACGTCCTTTACTTTCACATGCAGGGGGTATCCCTGTTATTAGACAATTGCGATTGGTGTATTTCATTGTCATTATTTAAAAAAAAAAAAAAAAATTAAAGTGAACGTGCACCTTCAAATATATTTTTGTTAAATTTTAATTATTAAATATTAGCTCCCCGACCATGTATGGAGACTGATTCATGCATAAATAGATCAAAATTGAAGTTTTCCCGTCTTAATAATGTTTCAGGAGGTTTCCCGGCATTTTTTAGATCAAATAATCCTACTTATCAATAACGTTATTTTGGACGTTTTGTGGGAGAGCTATATTTTAATTTAAGTTAAAGCTTATTAAAATTCGGTGAAGACACAATAAAGTTATATTATTTATCTATTTGTATAAAATATGAGAAAGAACGTATGATGCTTTGCGTAGATTTTAAGTAGCTGTTAATGAAAATTTACTTGAATAGTAATAAGCAGGCATAAGGAGATTGAGTTGCAGCTAGTACAAAACGAAATTTGTAAAAAAAAAAAAAAAAAAAAAATAAAAAAAATATTAGTCACATATTTAATATTCTATACTATTAAATTGTCACTCATTGTGTGTAGAGCAAAATCCACTTGCAGCCTTGTTTACTATAAATTAAGTCTTGTTAATTGATGTCAAACTATCTTTCCTAAAAACATTCTCAAAGATACAGATATATAGATAGGCTTGTCTGGAGTGAAGTTAAACTAGCATTAGTTTGCTTTCCTTGTTGAATATTATGGCGAAATCTGTTGCAGCATCAACTCAGCAACTAATTCTAAGCATGCATCAACAGAAAGATGCTCAGCATTTAAAAAGTGGATAAAATTATGTATTAAAGAGTCACAAGGAAAGGGAAACAATAACTTCAAGTACATTAACTCGGTGCCGATTCCAAAAAAGAGTAAATTGCGTAACGCTCCTCACTGGTAAATCAAAATATGTTTGAGGACAGGAACAATGCGAAGTACTCTGCTGCCATTGGTGTTTCCGCGCAAGATTGATCCCATGTTGAACAAAAAGTATTTCTTTTGCATTATGTAATGCATTATTATTATGAAAACCGATTTTTATACTTGGTTAACACAAGCAATAAAAAAAGAACCAAGCATCACAGATGATAGTGGAAGCATTGAAGGAACATTGTCATAAACAAACTATTATAAACTTAGGTAAATCAACGCAAAGCCAGCTTAACAATTTGGTTGTATTAAGATATTCGTGATTTTGAATAACGCTAAATGCAAAATCACGTTAAATTTAAATAGAAATTCAAATGACTCAGAACAAACTGGTATTTTTTTTAAAAATGAAACAAAAAAAAGGTGATAATGTGCCTTTAACATTTAAGGCAGCCCCATAAGTTTATCTGATGTTCAGGTAGAGAAATTCGTGCTTTTTTTGTGCCGGTACAAAAAAAGGAGTTGGAGCCCTTGGCCCCAGAGGGATGGATTTTATGTGTTAAAAACCCATCTTTATTTGAATATGGATAATCAAATGTATGTATATTAAATTTGGTCAAGATCAAGATATTATTGTAGCAGTATTTGTAGTTAATTTTATTTAGAAATATCATATAAGAAAAAAACAAATCAAAATTTGAGGCCCTCGGTTGTGACTGTTCTGGGTAGAAACCTGTTTAATTTTTGTAATTAAACTGTAAGGAATAAGCCTGCTGAATTTGAGACTTATATTTACAGCCAAAGTTGGAGAATAAAGCTCATATAAGAATAAATGAAATGGGGTCCCAAGCCCCAGAGGTATGGATATTATGAGTTCATTACCATTCGGTATTTGAATATGGATAATCAAGAGTATGTGTATTAAGTTTGGTCAAGATCTATCCATTCATGTAGGAGTAATAAGCCAATTGATATGTATACGATTATATTTTAAAAAAATGAAATTGACCCCCTGCCCCAGAGAGATGGATATAATGTGTTAAGATCCCTTCGGTATTTGAGTAGGGATAATCAAATGTATGTATATTTAGTTTGTTCAAGATCTAGCTATTCATATAGCAGTATTTGTTGATCATTTTACTTATATAGCTCATATCGGAAAAATGACATTTATGAAATGAAACTTGCTTAACTTTTGTAAGTAAGCTGTAAGGAATAAGTCTGCCAAATTTCAGGCTTCTATCTACAGGGTAAGTTGGAGAATTAGTGATGAGTGAGTCAGTTAGGGTTTTGCCTTTTATTAGTATAGAAAAGAAAAGAAAAATGAAATGGTGCCCCGAGCCCCAGGGGTGTGAATATTATGAGTTAAGCAAACTTAAATATTTGAATATTGATAATCAAGAGTATGTGTACTAAGTTTGGTCAAGATCCATCTATTCATGTCGGAGTACTAAGCATATTGATTTTAATAAGGTTTTTATTAGGAAAAACGAAATGGGCCCCCAGCCCAGAGAGTTGGATATGATGGGTTAATTGCCCTTCGTTATTATTTGAGTATGGATAATCAAATGAAATGAGCCCCCGGCCCAGAGGGTTGGATATGAGGGGTTAATTACCCTTCGTTATTATTTGAGTATGGATAATCAAATGAAATGGGCCCCCGGCCCCAGCAAAATGCATATTATGTGTTAAGTACCCTTCGGTATTTAAGTATGGATAATCAAATGTATATATGTTAAGTTTGGTCAAGACCCAGCTTTCATGTAGCACAGCGGTTCTCAACCTGTGGGTTGCGACCCCTTTGGTGGTCGCGGGACCCTTTTCCACGGGTCGCCTAAGATTACTGAAAACACATATCCTTACAGCTATGAAGTAGCAAGAAAAATAATTATGTGGCTGGGGGTCGCCACGACACGAGAAACTGTATTAGAGGGTCGCGGCACAAGAAAGGTTGAGAACCATTGATGTAGAAGTATTTGTTGACCATTTTATTTATATAACTCATATGGGGAAAAATAAAATTTTGGGCCCTTTGCCCAAAACGGTATAAAGTTTGGAAATAAAACATGTCTAGATTTTTGTAAGTGAGCTGTGAGGAATAAGCAAGCCAATTTCAGGCCGCTATCTACTGGGGAAGTTGGAGAATAAGTGATGAGTGAGTCAGTGAGGGCTTTGCCTTTTATTAGTATAGATTCAAAATATGCACGTGAAACTAGTGAGGTAGTTTTCATCTGAAATATATTTTTAATATTTTTAATTATAGTTTGCGTTATAGTCAATATAATTGAAGAACTGCTGATTTTAACTCAACAAGTTAAAACTTATTAATGTAATGTATCTTATTGTATTAACGACAGTATTAACGACGTAGTGTTCATACGAAGTTGTATTTTTAACTGTTATTTTTGTTCGGTTTTGTCATTTTACTGTGTAGCGATGGAAATTCAATTTGTTCATGCACGTGTATTTGTGTTTCACAGAGTGAGCCTTTCAAAAAATAAAGGTATACTGATCATTGAAAGCAAACATTTTAATAAGTTATTTGATTTTTATTTTCCAATGATAACGTTATATATATTTTTATCATATACAAAATATGTTCAATTAGAAAATATATGTTCGAATTCTAAAACAAAAGTATAGATTTATTTTTATTTAAATACTTCACCTACCCTGTAGTGGTTATCAAATTCAGCATGATAGTTATTGTGAAGTCTCTTAACACTATTAATAATATCTTATACCATAGTTTCACCAAGGGCTTTAAATTAAAAGTTTATAATCTATTGACGTCTGGTCTTTTTCGTTTCAAGATAAATATATCACAATTTTTTTTTTCTGGGATTGTCCTTTGCGTAGATACATTGCTAAAATACAGATATTACTAAAGAATGTAATTCTAAAACTTCGGACAATTGTATTTAAAACAATTAAATAATTTTAAAATGTACCGTATACATCAATGTTTACATCAATGTATTCATAAGAAAAAATAATCAATAATCAATGTATTCATAAGAAAAAATAATTCAACCAAAGGTAATTTGTAGCCGGTTCAGACCAGTTCAGATAAAATGATTGTTAAATTTCGTCTATTCTACCGAAAGGTAAATGACAAAAATAATTTAAAGAATTAAAAAAAAAACAACCTTTAAATAATAAAGAACTATTTAAAAAAAATACAAACGAACATAAAATTGAAGTTGTCAATCTCTCAGTAATTAATGTGGCCTTATTAGGGTGAGGGAATAGAACACATTGCACTTGCTTGGGAAATAATTGCATCAAAGACTCGTAAGGAAGCAATTATTGCCGCTTGATTTCCAATTTCACCACTAATTCAAACAAATTATTGTTTTCGATTCACCCTGGGCTAAGGTTGACAAGTCTGTTGGGGCCTTCCGATTAGGAGGGGTAAGCCACTGACCCCCTCGACGTTACCCGGGGAACAAGACCACCATTGCGTGTCCCGCGTGGGCAGAGAATGGACATGCAGTGTGCCTGCAGGAATAAAACGACTCCTACAGGGCTGCCGACAGTGACGTTTAACAGTTGGAAGTAAAGGCAGAGACAGGTTAGCAGACCTGTTTACCCTCAAACTCTTCAAATCGTACAATATCATCACAAAGTCGTTTAAAACATTATCTTAATGTAATATAATAAACCTACAGTATAAACATGTACACACCTTAAAAATCGTACATTGTACGCCAAAATCGTACCAGTAAACAGCTCTGGGCTAGGGACCATGATGACAAGTTACCGTTAATGGATATGATTCTAGAGGCGAAGGTGGTAACCTCTACAGATGATTCATACTATGCAGCCCCGAGAAGCTTCTCCAAGTCAACCGTGACGTTCCAGCTACTTCGCAAACTAATTGGGTGGTGGAAACCTACTGTAGAAACCCTCTTAAAGAGAGTCCGACGCTTCCTCGGGATGGTTGAGGAAAGATATTAGGGCGAACATTTTACTATCCCGAATTCTAAGAACGTCGATCGTGTGCCCTTTGTACAAACTCAGTCTTAGACCGACCAGGGCGTCCTTGATTGGGGCAGCCCCCAGCGGAACCCAATCGACCGGCAAAGGGATATCTCCAACGTGCTGCTTAGCGGCCGGATGACGAACTTAAGGGGGGCGGTTGCTTTGGGGAGGGCATAATGAGCATTACCTCGACGGCCCACTGGCGCCATTTCTTAATGTTCCCTTTCAATTTTTACAATAAGCAATATTTTTTTTAATAATCACAAAGATCTATAACCTTGCGGTAATTCTATTTCTTACTTCAGGACAAATGAAATTTTCGATAAGATCATATACAGCTGTATGATTGTTTTGAAGAGCTATTTCTTTAGCTGTTGAAACCTCATCAACATCAATTTTTTCTTTGAGAAAAAGTTGAACCAGTTTTTTGTGTCCTTTTTCAGCAGCAAACTTTAGCGCAGTATCCCCAACCTTATTTTTCACATTTATTAGAGCTCCGTTGTAAATAAGTCTTTGAGCAATATCTAAATGTCCATTTGATGCAGAAAACATAAGAGCCGTGTCTCCTTTACAATTTGTCTCATTAATTGCTGCTTTTTTGTCAATGAGCAGTTTCACAAAATCTAAATGACCTTTCTGTGAAGCAATCATCAATGATGTCCACCCATTAACTTCTGTACTATTTACATCTGCACCTCCATCAATTAAAAGTTGTGCAATTCTGGTACTGCCAAAATAATAATAAGATGCATACATCAATGCAGTATATCCGTTTTCGGCATTTAAATTGACATCAGCTCCTTTATCAAGCAGAATTGTAACTATTTCAATGCTTCCTATTTTAACTGCAGCCATCAAAGCAGTGCAGCCATTATTATTCTTTTCATCAATATCAGCACCATCTGAAAGCAGTTTTTGAACTCGATGTACATCCCCTGCTTCTGATAACATTACCAAATGTGGGGCGCTGTCACTTTTTGGTGGAGGATTGCTATTAAAGCGGCTTGATTGAGCGGTTTCTCTCCTTTTATGTATGTTTTTAGTTGAAGCATCTTCACAATTTCGATCAATTTCTTTATCTTTTATGGTACGCATATCAATAGTAGGCACGTTTGTGTATCCTCTCTCAACTAATGTCAGAGGCTCAACAAATGAAGCAGGACTGTCCACGTCAATCGTCTTTTCAGGCCGTTGCATAATTTCTCCATCATCATTGTATTCTTTTCCTACATTTTCATTATTTGGCACCACAACGGCAACTTCTAAAGCATTATGTTCTTGGTTATGTAAGTGTTCTCCTTCCTGGACCTCTATTTCAATATCCTGGAAATCAATACGTATAAATGTGTTTAAATACATTGAATTTAAAATGGGGGGGGGGGGGGGAGGGGGGGGGGGGGGGGAAGGGAGTACAACTTGGAGATAAGTGCTGCGCAGTTCATTTACACTATATCAAATATTTAAATAAGACTTGAGAACCCAGTTGCATGTTATTGATTTGTTGTTAAACTGAGCAAATTATATGTGTTTGAATATGTTTAACACATATTAAATGCTACCTTATTTGAATTCAATTCTTGCCAATGTAAAATTATGAACATAATTTACCAAAGCTGGTGCTAAATATATTACCATCTCAAATGATAAATTATTTTTATATCGACATTTAAAACAATTTAAAAATCAATACTTGAACACATAATCATGAATTTTGCAATTATACCAAAGTTTGCTGCTTCCGAAAAGATTTATAAAAATTAAATTGACACATCCAATTACAAATTAAACCATATATTTCGTGTCTCTTATTATCAAAACTTACCATATTATCTTGTCTTCTTTTAATTGTATCTGAAAGAAAAAAATAATAGTTGTACATTTTTGTAGAAAAAGTTAACCCAAATTTGATTATAGAGAGTTTAACTCTAATTTTTTGAAAATCACATAAATGCAGAGAATGGTTTAAGAACAAAACATTTCTTTTTGTTTAAAGAAGAAAACACTACTGATCCCGTCGCTCTTAGGGATGAGAACATAAATGTTTAGATGCCTGTACAAAGTACATGTGTTAAGCTGCTATTAATCGTGAAAAAGTGTAATATTCTATTAACCTTAACAAGTGAGAAAAAGGTTGTACAAATTTTCCAATCGCATAAAATGACAAATTTGAATTTTTTAAAACGATTATAAAATAATTTTAAATTATTAATGATAATGCGTTATGTTTATTTTTTAAAAAAAATATCATGAAAACAATTTAATGCCAAGTTAATCATGAAGATGAATAGCAAACAGATTGTAAAGAAACTGAAAGGCATACATTTAAGGGTCATTTAATTGGTACTACAAATAAATTATTAAGTTTTACTTTTTCTTTTCTTTATTTCATTCCTATAATACTTACTTTGTCGATTGGGGCATTTCTGACAAAAGGTAATAATAAAAATATAATTAGATAATGGTTTATTAAAAGAATCATAACATGATAAAATAGCTCCGGAAGTTTGAAATTAAAGAAATGCAGTCATGTATTTAAAAAAAAAATCGTCCAAAGAAATAAAATGAAACCCGGTTGTTGTTTTTTTTACACATGATTATACTTATCTTTCCCATGTCTTCTTATGTAAATGATATTTTAAAAGATTATGAATTTTACTAAATGAAAACTTTTTTTATTACAAGAATATGATAGGTATCTCTTACATTCTTTTAATTTCTTTGTAAGTTATGCGTAAGAGAAACAAAAACCGTATCTTGCCTTACGCAAATGTGTGTTTGTCAATAGGATTTAATCGTATATGCCACAATAGAAAGATATTGTCTTGAGAATAGGAAAGGCAACACTCTTGCCGTCACCCAAGAAATGAACAATGTCTTCAGAATTTGAGAAGGTTGTCTCGCGCAATAGGCTTCACGTGAAAAGACAGTGGTATGAACAGTTGATCAGTCATACTGTTAAATATTCTCCTTTAAAACTGCAGGAAAACTTTACAGCACAAATTCTTGTAAAAGACTTTGCTTGCATCAACCATTCCCAAAACTTATAACATTTGACGTATACTTGTAAGTAAGCGTTAAATCTCCAACTATGAAGATCGCATCATAACTGTGCCCGGATTACACGATTGAATCGAATGTTGTAAAAACATTTGTTCTGGTACAAGTTTGAGAATCTGAGTGAAATAGTTACATGGCGAGGTAGTTCATACTTTTAACACTTACATTACGCAGGAAGTCAGATATCAACCCGCTTAAAGTCTGCACTCTATTTTTTAACAGGGGAAATATTTTTACAAATGATAAAAAGAATATATTGTTCGTCATTCAATTTAGTACTGTAACATTAGGATCGTGCTTAATCTATGTAATATTTTTTGACTTACCATTGATCCTTGTAACCTAAAAAAAAAAAAAAAAATAATTCACAAAAATTAACCAATTGAAATAAATACATATGTTAAAAAAAAAGAGTTTCATATAAGAGAAAGATTATTTAGTATTAAATTTAGTACTGTAACATTAGGATCGTGTTTAATATATTTAATATTTTTTGACTTACCATTGATCCTTTTAACCTAAAAAAAAAAAAAAAAATAATTCACAAAAATTAACCAATTGAAATAAATACATATGTTAAAAAAAAGAGTTTCATATAAGAGAAAGATTATTTAGGTCATATGATTAAAATGTTGAAGTGGATGGAGTAAACAAGGCAAAATATACAACGTAAAGTACATTTTTTATTCTTTGTTAGTAAATGATTTTCTATGTTCTTTGTTAATTGTTTTAGATGTACAATAAGAAGTGCATATGTTTAATTGTAAGTGTATTTATTTATTTTTTTCTATTATTTTTTTCCCTTGATTTTCTTTGGAATAATGTCAAGTCAAATACGAGTGGCAATGCATGGGTATGAAAGTGCACAAAAAGTAATATTTATTTCTTTAATTTGCAATATTAAAAACGTTGTTTTTTTCCCTCAGTTATGTTTGCTTTCATAGCAATAGAACATTCTTTTTAAAAATCTGTAAAGAAATTAATATATACATAAATATGACTTTAGTTTTATCAATGAAGTCTCATAAAAGTATAACAATAATCTATTGGCTAACAAGAAACCGTTATTTAAACTACATATGAAAAATTTAACAACGGAGATCAATAATTAAAAAGCAACAATGCTAAATTAGTAGCTCAACTCACCCAAGATAAACGATTATTATTCCAAAAATTATATTAAATATAGTTGAAACTATGCCCCATATAGAGATATCTTGTTTTGGAGCTTGTTGGTAGTCTGCAAGGAAAATGGACATTTTAATAGATAAATTAAGAGAGGTATTATTTGAAAAATGTCGCTAAAAATTATATAAATAAAACTAAACATTGATTTTTATAAATGTGTGAGCGATTTAACATGTATGCACGTTTTTTGAACAGTAGAACAACTATAACAATAGGCTATTAATTATACTTAAATGGTGTGCTTATATAATTAAATAGCAAGAACTCGGCAACAACGTTAGCAGAAAAGCGTGTAGTTCATATCAAAAAGTGATTTAGCAAATTATGCACTAAAATACTAAGTTAACACAAATCACAAATAGTCCTTCGTAACTCCCCTCCTCCCAAGGTCACAACTGAACACATTTTTCTTCCCCCAGAACTATATTTATATTCAAATGTACCACAAACTGTTAGAACGCAGATTTATAACTGCATTTTTTAAATTCAGGTTCCTTAAAACATAACAAAAATATCACGCAACAAATGCAATTCCATTTTTTTTAGGAATCTCTTGAAGCATAATTATCAGAAAAACTTCTTAGAGAAATCAGCGCCAGTTAGCTACATTGTTACAAAGACAATTATTTATTTGATTATTCACTTTGAAAGGGGCATGAATTGTTTTTACCACTCTCAAAGATGTTTTGAAAAATATACCCCATGTAAAGAATAAAATCAAAGTTTGATTGATTAATACCGGCATGTATTCTTTGAAATATCGTATAGTTACGAGATTGGCCGCACTTTATTTCAACAATTGAAAGACTTAAAATTAATTTTACGTTCTACACGGCGTATAATGCCTAGAAATTTCTTTTTCTTTTCGAAAAACAGCACAAGACCTAAAGGATGTGGCTCACAATAGTGCGAGTTTGGAAAATTTGGCTAGCACTTTGGCTGGCTAAAATTTAACATACTGCTACAATTGACTTTCAAAAATATAAAAATATGCAAAATACATTTTATTGAATTGATTTCTCTTTTTTTTTTTTTTACAATTTCTTAGTCGTACAAAATAAATAGAAATATAATAAATTGTGGGTCATTATTTTTTTAAAAAAAAGCATAATATAACTTTATAAATGATAACATACTCATATGTATTTCAAGCCTTAAAGTTGTGATCTTTCCAACTAAGCTGCATAGTGCTCGTCGAATCGTTACAATTACTACTTCAGATTTATTATAAGATTTATAATAAACGGCATGTTCCTTTCCCTCCACCTTGTAATTCGAATCATTGGTGGATATTTCTATTACACAAGGATTTCCCTGGCTGCTGCAGGAATATTCAATAAATAATTCACGCCCGTTAAACTGTTTCACCAAATCACTATTCATCTCAATGGGTTCTTGGTTAATAATCAGATGCCCTGTCGTGTCATCCGATGCTGTAAGTAATAAATATATTTGCATAAATGTGTTACCTTCGAAAAAAATTCAGCTCCCCAATATCATATTTTAGGAAGTTTATTTCGTTTAATTGAATCTTAATAAATGTCAAATTCAATATTTCACAACAAATATGATAAAATGGATCCAAGAATATATGTGCAGAGGAATGATGTTAAGGTGGTTTAAGTGTCAGGTTAATGTAGAAAAAAATATTGAGTGCCACAATACCCGTGATAAAATGATTATTTGAAAGCGAAAATAAAATAAATATTTTCTTATATTATTCGTTAAATATATTAAAATTGAAGAAGGCTTTTAAAGCAAGTTTTTTCCCCTTCTATTGGTGTTTTTTTTTTGTATACATTATTATTTTTTTATACCATTTCTTTTACATTAGGAATTTGTCTAAAATTTCCTTCATGAAAATAAAATCACACGATGCTCAATTTCATAACTATGTTTTTTCGATGCACTAAATAAGAGAGAGAGAGAGAGAGAGTCTCTCTCTCTCTCTCTCTCTCTCTCTCTCTCTCTCTCTCTCTCTATATATATATATATATATATATATATATATATCTATATATATATATATATATATATTGTTATAGAGAGCTTGTTTACATCATATTTCTCGTGCGTGCCCTCTGATTGACCCCGCATGAGACGCTGTGTTCACAAAAGGGTGTGGCTAGGTCTTTGAAGTAGCTTGTTTACAATCGGCTTCCAATTACGCATTGGGTAGAATTGTCTCCGGGTAATTTCTGGAATATACTCCTTAACCCGAGATATGTAAACAACACGTCATAAGCCCTTCTGGAAGCTCTTACTCTACATATATATAAGGGATTGACAGGCACGACGAGGGACGGAGATTTTTCACATAGATTTTCTTAACATTACAAGGCGTGTTTTATTCTTTGTGTATTTGTGTGCTCCTACTTATATGTGTTTATTTCGCATTATTTATTGGCATCATTATTTCTAATTGTATTAACTGTGTACCGGTACGAGACCTACCATATTGTAAGTTGAAGATTGTAATTATATTTTTCTTTTCTTTTGTAAATTATCTTAAAGACATAATAAATCTTAATTAATTGTAACTAGAAATTGTTTTGGGTCGTATATTTAATATTGTTGATTCTATGGTATCGTCCTTTGTTATGGAA